ACAAAGAGCGCTGAATGCTGAAACTGAGACTATTCTTTAAAAAAAAAAGAAAATTCTTGGGACCAGCAGTTAGTGTAATGACTACATCGCTGGACTTCCATGTAGTCGACCACGGTTCACGTCCCGGGCCCAGTGGCTTAAACTCAGACTGGCGTGTGTGTGTGTGTGTGTGTGTGTGTGTGTGTGTGTGTGTGTTCAAGTTCCTGAGAGGAGAATGGAGGAGAAGGGATTGTGGCGTGGCCATTCCCCCTGGGGAGTGATTTCTCTCTTTCTGCCTTTCTGTCTCTCTCTGTCTTTCTGGTGAGCGCATGCGCCCTAGAGAAAAAAAAAAAACTCTCAAAAAACAAAACAACCAAGGAATTGACCATATCATCACCAATGCTTAAAATAAAACCATTCAGACTTTGAAGTATTAAACCTTCATATGTAAGTACAATGTCGTCTTAGTGGTCCCCTAGTGATTCAGAGAATCAGTGTGCCACTGAACTTCTCTTGGTCTTCACAGCCAAGGTGAGGCCAGGAGCCACAGAATCCAGAGCCTGCATTACCACAATAGCTGCAGGATCCTGGGCAGGATTGGGAGCTCAGCCTCATTATGTGTAAGGTGCATAGTGGAGACAGAGTGGCCTCTCTCCATGCACGCACACAGCAGACCAGTGGTCAGGAGCAGAGCAGTCGGAATGCCTGTGGTCATTACCTACCTTCTCTCTGACTCAGATTTCCCAACCTGAGGATGGCGCTATTCAAACCAGGTAAGACACCCTACAGTACCTCGAACACCGTCAGGCTCTGGACTTGCTAGCTCTTGTTGTGGAGATGTCATCTCACGCGCTTCCCTTTCCCCCGTGCTATTTTCAAGGGGGAAATCACGCTATCCAAGGGTGCTGACAGCAGCCTGTATCTTTTCTCCAAAGGGTACGCACAGCTCTTTTCATTGTGATACCGGTACGGCCAGCTTACGCTCCCAAGCAGCTCTGCCAATTCACAGACCTGCTAGCAGTGGAATGAGAGTGCATGTCCCCACCTCCCGCCAACCTTGCGTATTAGCAAGTTATTGCACTGCATCCACTAGGGGACACACTGCCTCCTGTTTCTGTGCGCGTCTCCCCGACTACCGATGAGACTAAGCATCTTGCCATGTCCCTGGACAGTTTGCATTTCTGCTTTGTGACTAACGTCTTTTTATTCTGTGGCACTACCAGTACTCCAAAGCCCAATCTTGGCTCTTTGCACATCCTGTTTTCCTGACCCAACCAGTAGGGCCCCTGCCCAGCACATGGGGCCCTCCAGATGCCTGCCATGGCTCTGGAGACCAAGGGAAGTCTCCTTGTGGCCAGAGTCTCTCCTGCCCCTCTCTCATGGACTTCATCCTGCATGGAGCCTGTATCCCTAGCCTCTCCTTCCTGTAAGATGGCTGTTGTGTCTTGGGTGGCCCTAGACTCCCTTTGCCCCTGCACTTGCCTCTCTAAGAAAAGACTGACCTCTAGCCTGGCCTGAGGGAGTCTGATTTGGGGGGTGGGGGGGAAGGGGACAGAGTGTCACTGCATTCTGATCCTCCTGTTTCAGCCTCTCCAAACCTCTGGGATTACAAAGGCACACCGCCATACCCAGCTTTTAGGTTGGATTGAGAATCCAACCAGGGCCTCCCATGTGGTCCCAGCCTGCAGAGCGCAGCGTCTTAGCAGCATGTGCCAGGGTGGCTGGGCCTAAGAACCTGTATTTTTTGTACTTTTCCTCTTTTCTTGGTGGTACATAATACTTGCAGGATAATGTATTTTTCTGACCTGGAGATGTTTTCAGTTGTCAAGAACTGTGAGACCAACAGTTAGCGTAACGGCTATGTCACTGAACTCCCATGTAGTCGACTGCGGTTTGAGTCCCAGACCCGGTGGCTTAAACTCACACCAGGTGCGTGTGAGTGCATGCCCGAGATGATGCTGAGAGAATGAAGGAGAAGGGATTGTGGCGTAGCCATCCCCCCTGGGGGGTGATTTCTCACTTTCTGTCTCTCGGTCTCTGTCTTTCTGGTGAGTGCACGTG